TCGCACACAAGAATTTCACTCGCATGTGCTGTGCCAGTGTGCCTGCACATGTGATGTGACAATAAAAGTGATTTGATTTGATTTGATTTGAAATTACTGCATGAAAAATGACCTCACATGTCTCTCTCACCCAGGCTGAGATCTACAAGGCAGATTTCCTTGCTGAGCGAGAAGCCAGAGAGAAGTTAAACCAGAAAAAGGAGGAGCTGCAGGAGCAGCTGAATCAGGCCTTGGCTGAGAATGAGAGGCTTAAACAGGAAGCTACCGCACGGTAAAAACCAAGACATTGCAAATTATAATAATTATTTGTGTCATCAGATTGGGTATGTGGATGTGTTTATGCTTCATTATGTGTGTTTCATCTGCATGTACAGTTAATAAGATGAGATTTAACATAGAACTTTTCAATGCTCCCTTCTGTTTCAGTGCACGTATGGAACAAATGAAGATGAGACACCTGGATGACTTCTCTGCACGGCCCACACTCATCCCCCCCCCACAAGGTACAGAATCATGATAGTTTTATTCTCATGAAGCTCTACTTTCACTACTGAAATAGAGAAAATTTCATGCTGTGTGTTTTTTGGAATTTATTTTCTTTTTTAATTTATTCACATATAGGGCTGCAATTAAAAACTATTAATTTGTTAAAGTTTTTAACAATTATTTTATTCATTAGTAGATTCAATGTTTTGTTCATAAGACTCAAAGAAATAGTAACGCTCTTTGGAAGTGCCCGTATCTTATGACGATGTCTGTTGAATGTCTAGTTTTGCTTGACCACCGTCAGTTTCCTTTTATGCAGTCACTAAAGAGCATGTGCTATTGGTTTGAAATCAGGTCACTGACTTGATCCTTGAAGAATATATCCCATTTCTTTGCCTTCAGAAACGTTCGGGTTGCTTTTCCAGTATGGTTTGGGTCATTCTCCATTTGTACATTGAAACGTTATCTGATCAGTTTTGTGGCATTAGGCTGAATTAAAGCGAGTGTAAATTATTATACACTTTAGAACTCATTTTGCTGGCCATGAAATGCTTGTCAGTCCAACTAATTATGAGCCTCTTAAAATGGAGGATTATGTAAAAAAATGTTTGTAAATCCTAAACATGTATTGTAATACTTTTTTTTTAGGTCTGCACTTCAATTGCATCTTGATTATTTGATTGAAATCCACTGTGGTGGTGTACAGAGGATAAATGGCTAAAATGTGTCATTGTCCAAAACCATTTGGATCTAACTACATACAGTGGGGCAAAAAAGTATTTAGTCAGCCACCGACTGTGCAAGTTCCCCCACCTAAAATGATGACAGAGGTCAGTAATTTGCACCAGAGGTACACTTCGAATGTGAAAAAAAAAATCCATGAATCCACATGGTAGGATTTGTAAAGAATTTATTCGTAAATCAGGGTGGAAAATAAGTATTTGGTTTGCACACACAGTAGTTGGTATTTTGGCCC